ATATTCTGACTCTCTCCCAAAAAATACAACGATCAAGTCTTTGACACTGTGGTTTTGTGGGTGATATTCAATCTGTGATATCACTCCACTGCTGGGTTGATTCATCAAGAAGTTCCCTGGAAGCACGTGATTTATCCAAGAAGATTCTATCATTGAAGAAGGTATGATTAATTATTTATTTTTATCCGCTGCATATTCTGTGTTTACTAGTTTACATTGGTATCAGAGCATGTTTATGGATATTTTCGTGTTTCGTTTAATCATGTGTATACTTTTGTATGTATATGTATATATATTATACACATGAATATTTGTAGAGGAAGAAAAAAAATTTTATCGGATTAGGAGCATAAAAAATATTTTTTTTATGTTCATTAATGTCTTTTTTCTACCATAAATGGTTTTATTTTAAAAAATGGAGTCTGGCAGTACAATAATTAGATCGGAAAACACCCTGGAAGGCGGTGCGTGGGGCTCACGTGCCACTTGACGCTGTGAGCCGCTCCCACGTGCTTCCACGCGCTCCCACGCGCCAAATGCCCTGCCGACGCGCCTGTACGCGCCCTCACGCGCGCATCAGCGGCGCTGTTCTGTACTATTTCGTGTGTGAGTATTATATTGAAGACGAATATTAACAATGAGATCTATTATATACTAATATTGTATTCATACATAAAATAGTACTATGTAAGAATTAAAGTCTTGAAATCTCTAGATTATGGTATTATTGGTCCATTTTATTTCTTTCTATTTATATATATATATATATTTCCAAGTTTATATTTTAAGATAAGCGTAAAAGTCTGTCTTGTAGATATCGTGTGATGGTTCATTGATCTTCTTTTTATTTTAAAAATAAGAGTATCGTGGATCATGTGATCATGGATGTGTTAATCTATAACAATAATATTAATAGAATATTTAGCACAATTATTATAATAATAATAATGACTATAAACAACAATTTATATAGACAAAAACAAGAGTATAAGAAATATGGGCGTGTTTGGTTTGTGTTTTGAGATAAATTTTCAAAAAAATAAAAATTTGGGGAGAGAGTTTAGAATTTCTTTTTTTGTTTGTTTGGTTGTATATTTTGAAAATAGTTTTGAAATTTCGGAGTTTGGAATGATTTGATATTTTGTTATAGTTGAGTAAATATGTGTGAGGGAAAAAGCGATTGAGAATAAGAGAGGACAGAGAAACAATGATGAATTGATGTATAATAGAGATAGAAGTAATTTTGAATTTTTTTTGAGAAAATTTGTAATCAAACATGTTCTTGAAAATTTTCTTCCAAAAACATGTTTTAAAACACAAACCAAACACATAAGTTTCAGATTTTGGGAGTTTTGTTGTCACTGTCCTAAAACTTGTTTTGCCTCCTCTCGTAAAGGTACAATTAGAGAAAAACAGTTTTAAAATAAAATTTATGTTACTCATAGCATCCCTCGCCAATATTTATGATCACATGAGGGTTCAACCATATCACAAACCACAATTATCCAAAATATCAATATAAAATATAGAGAACTCTCTCTAAAACTTCTCATTTTTTAAATTACATTTTCGGCTCCTTTACTACTGTTGTGTTTTCTCAAAACCTATATTCCCTCATAGATATAGCAAACTATATACATTAATATAGAAGAACAGGTATAGATATAATTAACTATCAATTAAACTCATATTTAATATCATAATTATCTTGAAATAAATCCTCATAATATGATTGTAATGACAATATAAATTTTACAACTTAAAACATATATAATTATAAATCTTGTAACAATTAAATAATAAAATCATTTAATCATAAGGAAAATGTTTGAGGGCCCGAAATACCTGGCTCGAATGCCCCGAATGCCCAAAACGACGTCGTTTTGGGATTTTCGTTAAAATATCCCAACAGGATTTACATTAGCTTTCTTTTCCAAGTTTATATTTTAAAAGTATCATGTGAGGATCATGGTGATGTGATGGGAAAGATTATGTGATGGTTGTGTTCCACGAGGGTTGAATTTCTCATATTCAAGTTTTAATGTTATAGCATTTGAGGGATTTATAAGATTTATTATGAATTTTGTTTTGATATTTTGAATTGCTATTATATAAGGTTTTTAATATATCTCATCTATAAAGAAAATTAATTTGTTCTAATAATTATAATATTTTTATTTTACCGCACTTGTTTTCTAAAAAATGAACGACAAATAAAATTTTGAAAATAGACCATTTGTGTTTTTAGAGACAAACAAGACAATAAAACAAAAAAGTTATAATTATCGAATCGATTTAATTTTTTCATTAATGATATACATTTAGAGTCTTATAAATTAACAATTCGAATTATCAAAATAAGACCCATGATAAGGTCCATAGACCCCTAAAATTCTCCGATGTTGAGATTTGAATATGAGAAAAATTCAACTCTTACATTTAGGCCTCGTTTGGTAAGTGTCTTTTTTAGCCAAAAAGTAAAAAAGTTACTAAAAAAACTAAAAAGCCAACAACCAATACCAAAAAGTCAAAGATTCTTTTTTCTCTCTATTTGCCAATTTGTCCTCTAAAATTGTAACAAAAAGTACTTACTCCCCAAGTTTAACTACTAACACCTTGTTTGGAAACAGACTTTTAGTAATTTTTTAGTTTTTTGGTTAAGGACAATGGTTGAGGGCCACAATTTTTATGGCTCAAATGGCAAAAGGAAGCTCCAGACAAGCGTATTTGGCTGGAAGAGGTCCCTGCTAGGTTGGTGCATATTTTGTTGAGTGAAGTTCCCATTTTGTGATGGTGGCCGAACCCTCCACCCACTAACGAAAAAATAATAATAATAACAATAATAATAATAAAAAAAGAAAGTAATACACTACAATATTATAAAACTATCAAATAATCACTCAATGTGATGGGCCATTATCCTCCATTCGACAAATTTTTGTGACTTATCATCGACAATTTTTTTAGTTATATATAAAACTTATTAAAAAAAATAACAAAAATAATATGATAATGTTATTATGATAAATAAATTCAATTTTATAAATATATTATTTTCAAATAAATAGATTTTATTAAATCACATCATTTTGTGTAAATTTTCTATTTATATATTATAATTCTATTATAAATAAATTTTTTGCAATCTATTTGTATAAGATTTCAATCACACATTTTTATAATATCTTTTACCGTCTACTCACAATGAAAGTGGGTCTCATATCCTGTGATGATATGAAATTTGTTCGCATTATGAATAGATGGTAAAAAAAAATTATAAAAGAAAGTGTGACTGAAGTCGGACTTGCAATATAAATACATTTTTTCATTTGTCTTTCTGACTTCACATATTTATTTTCCTCTCTATCTTATGTATTGTGTTATGTATTTATAGATTTTCGAATTCTTTACATTCAAATGACATAAGTAGGATGATTTTGAATAGCTTAAATAGCAAATTTAACTAAATTTGTTGTTTGTATTATTTTAAAATATGTATAATATTTCTTGTTATATAAAATTCCTAGAACTGTAAAGCCGAATCGAACCAAACCAAATCAATTCCTATGATTTTGTTTGGATAAGGTTATATAATTTTACTGGTTCAATTATGGTTTTAATTTTTCTAGAACGGTAGGAAGCTATTTGATTACACCTCTAATAAAAATTTGTGAGAATTACAATGCGTCAATTACACTCACCCTCTTCTAAGGGTTGGAAAAAATGTAATTAGTTGCACATTTTTAACATAATTACACAGTTATCTCCTAAAGTTTTAATTTACATAACAATCAAGTCATTTTTCATCAAGAATTCCTTATTTGTATGTAAGAAAAAATGATATTGTTATCTCTTAACAATTAAAAATGTATAATTATCTTTATTATTTCAATATTCACCTACTATCTACATTAATTTTAGTTGATTTTGTGTTACAAAATAGATATCAATATAATTATATCAAAAGTGTAGAGTTAACTATATTTTTTTCAAATTTCAAGAAAAGAGAATCTAATTTACACTTTATAAAAAATTTATAATTCCTAAATTATTTCTCAAATTACGAAGCAAATAAAATAAAAGATACAAGTGCACTGTGAGCAACTTTATTCATGTGGACAAAAATGTGAAAAAACCACAATCAATTTTTATTTCTTACCTACAATAGAAATTACAATCAATCAATCTTTTATTTTCATGATCCGTATATAGTAGGGATCTTTCATATTAGAGAAGGGATTTTTTGTTTTTTTTTAGGGGAAGTTGATAGAGCATCTCCAATCTTTTATCAATTTTTTTTTATCAAACTTAAATCTAGTTTTTAACAAAAATTTTATTAAATGAGAAATGAATTAAATCTTTCATCAATTTTTCAATAACTTTTTTTTCCACTAAAGTTTGTTAAAATTATTGAAAGATGAAGGATTGGAGATCATTTTTTTTTTAAATGAGTTTTTTGGGATAAGTATTTAGAAAATATTTGATGACAAAATTGATTCTCACCATTGAAGTGAGTTATAACAAATCAAACTTTTGATATAAAAATTGCTTAACAAATTTGATGAAAAAAGAGGTGAGGGGTTTTTTTTCCATTAATTTTGAGTAAAAAATTGATCAAAATCTTAATTTGATGTGGATACTCCAATAGTTTTCATTGAAGTGAGTTATAATAAATCAAACTTTTGATCTAAAAATTGCTTAACAAATTTGAGTAAAAATTTGTTCAAAATCTTAATTTGATATGGGATACTCCAATCGTTTTGGGAAATTCTATTTACATACTACTAATCCGTACACATCATTAACAAATTAAATTTATATTCCAATAATATCTTCAAATTAAAAGACCATTAAAGAAAATATGAGGGTGTGCTCTACTCATTCAAAGATTTAATATATAAAAACACAAAACACTTTTCACACACCATCATCGCCTCTAGGCATATAAACAACCAAAATAAATTGGTTTCGAAGGTAGCATTTGGTTTGATTTTAGAATCATGATTTGGATAAAAAAAATTCCTTCTCCCACTCCTCATCACCTCAGAAACTACAACCTCTCACTCAGAGATCAGCACGCTACATTTCATTACATATCAGTGGCTTTCTACTACTCTACTCCCACTACTATTGGTGGTGGTGAATCTGAAGAGATGGTCGGTCTAATATCGGAACGCTTGAAGGTTTCCCTCTCTGAAACCCTCACTCGCTTCTACCCACTTGCTGGAAGATTGAGAGACAATCTCTTAGTCGATTGCAACGATGATGGTGTTGATTTTGTTGAAGCTCGAGTCATTAACAACTTCCATCTTTCAAACTTTCTTGATGAACCCAAACTTAAAGTCATCGATCATTTGGCTCCACCCGAACCAACAGATTACTACAAGTCCCCTCTTTTACTCGTTCAAGTCAACTTTTTTCCATGCAACGGAGTTGTCGTTACTGTGAGAATGTCGCACAAAATTGCTGATGGATTCTCCTTTGGCATATTTATAAAGGGTTGGTCAGACATCGTTCTTGGATCTACTGACACCATAGTCCCAGATTTTAATGCTGCCTCCTCTCGCTTCCCTCCAAGAGACGATTGTTAGGGAAAATCGATGATTCCCCACAAGTAAATCAATCAATGGGAATAAAAACTAATGCGGAAAAATTAAATCGAAAGCAACACAAGAATTTTTACGTGGTTCCCTCAATGTGAGGTACGTCCACGGGATCGAAATCCGATTCCACTATCAACCAAATAAGTTTCAAACGATTACAAACGAGACACTAATGGTCTCACAAAACCACCCTTAGGTGAATTCCAAATAATCACAAATAAAATAAACAAGAGGAATACCTCACCAATAGAGTGAACCAAATTCTTCAGAATCAAAGTTGTAGAAGATCGCAAAATAACAACCCAAATCAACTCTCGCCCAAGCAACGCCAAACAAAGATGCAGCGCAAATCAAATTGTTTATGCTCCAACGAATCAATGCCCAAAGCACTCCACCAAATTAATGTGATTTCACGTTGCTAATCCTAGCCACACGTACACACAAAACAATATATAATATATATAATATTGTGAATCTAGGGTTTGTTTTATCAAACCTTAGTTGTTTCCAAATTAGATTGGGGTCGCTCCTCAAATATAATATATAAAAATATAGTTTCTAAACCGAAGGGGGGGGGTCCAAATTCAAAAACTCTTTTAATAAATCAATTGGGTCCCACACTCCAATAAGGAGGTATACCAACAATCTGCCCCCTACCGACTTAGGTGGAGACATCACATACCCGCCAAAGTTTGGACAACTTTAATGTTTGTCCCTCGACAAGTCTTCGTCATATATCCAAAATATTATCATTTGTGTGAAGCCTTTTCGAGTTGTAAATAATTTCGAATCTAAACAGCATTCACGAATCCAATGGGTATCTGACATCAATGTGTTTCAGATCTCAGAATTGAAAGTAGAATTTTTAACTCAAGTGAATAGCACTTTGACTACTCACAATAAATGCACATACTTTTCTTGCTTCAAACCCAACTCTTGCAAAAATTTCTTAAACCATACTCTTCTTTGCAAGCTTCCTGTAATGGCAATAATTCAGATTCGGTAGTGTGAGAGAGCAACACATTTTGTAATTTACTATGCATGCCAACAGGCTCGCCCCCTGCAAAAGTAAATCAAATACCGCCGAAGCTCAGATTTCCGAGAATCAACATCAACTAGCATGTCAGAATTTGTGAACATCAATCACGCATCGGTCTTACGGCATCCCAAAACACAACACACACCTTCGATCCGCTCGAGAGATACCTTAAAATCCCATTTTACTGCTGCCACAATGTTCTTTACTCGCGGATTAGAAGAGAAAACGACTCATCACACCAACGGCAATGAGCAACATCCGGGCCTTGTACATACATGGCGTACATCAAAGAACGCAACTGCTGAAGCCATAAGGAACTTTCAACATCTCTTC